GGAGTTAATTTGCGAGAAGATAAGTAATGGAAAGAGAGTTTTAATGTGAAGGAAGTAACACCTCACAGAAATGCCACCATCCCTATCTTCTTTCATCTCTGTTCCTCTTCATCTTGGTCACAGACCGGACACTTCCTCCATTCAACACTTCTTCCTTCCAAGACCCTTCCGGTTCTTGTTTGTAGGTTATCTCCTGGTTATTTGTTGCTTAAGGAAGTCCCTGTATTCACTTTCTATATCTCTCTTTCCTCGCATCTTAGAGGCTATTTAACCTCCAATAAAGACAGGTAAGGAATGGATTAGGGAAAGATGAAAATAATTAAGATGGCAAGCCTTTCTCTTTCTAAGTCTTACATGTCATTCACCCACCTCCTCCTACCTCCGGTGTAACCACATGCCTTAACTAACTTCTCAATTCTAAAGAAATCAAATAAACAAGAAATAATTAAAAAGTAAATAATAAAATACTAAAATGAATTACATTAGAAGATAGAAAATGTACCTAAAGAAAACACAAGATTATTACGACAAAGACGAGCCTCAGAGATAAAGTGGAGGCTCCGGGATAATGGGAACTCAAGAAGTCGAAAGAAGTGGATATTGGTCATCTTTTATTACTTTCCTTTCTTCTTTATGATTCATGATCCTAGATCCACAGGAAGAGAGTGGCACCAAATATAGAAAAGATAGCCAAATAAAAGAGAAAGAGGAAATAGTGAATGGGACATTATCTGTCCTTAGCTTTTACAACATGAAAATGAACAATAAAGGAATTCCAAGAATAAAGACTGCTCCAAAAGCTAGGAAAGAGATGTAAAAGTGAATTCTATTGGTTAATCCTCAGTCATAGCAAGGAATGGAATAGATAAGAAAGAGTAAGAAATGGTGACACGTGCCCTCATCCGTTCGTATCCACTCTCTCTTGGTCACTTTCTACATTCTAGAATTACATTATGATAAAGATATAGAAAGAGAAGAACAGATACACAGGAGAAGGAAAGTCACTCTATTCCTCATTGCTTCTCGTGACCTTACCAACCTGTCCAAGAAACCAAAAGGTACAACATAAAATAAATAATAAAAGAAGATGAAAATAAATATAAGATAATAAGACAATATGATAACCAAATGAAGGTAAACGATGATGATGTACGAAAAGAAAAGCATTATGGTAAAGATATGGAAATGAAAGGAAGGAATCCTAGCTTTTTATATTTGTATTTTGTATTTTCGTTTTGTCGCAATAATTGAGAATTCCTACATTTTGAAGAACACAGAAGGAAGAACGGTGTGTAAGCTCTTCTCCCTTTGGCTCCGCCCACCGTCGGTGACGGGAGAATAATGGGTTGGTGACTGGTATTTTGGAGAGCCTTTTTCTCTTATCTATCTCATCTTAGGATCAACAATAACTCCAAACTGTAGGTTCTCTTCTCTTAATCTGTCACCTCTTACCCATTCACTGTTCCCTTCTCTTGGTTAGTTCCTGGAGTTTACTTTTCTCTTCTTATCACCTTATCTCTGAGCCTTTGAAGCGAGGAGGAAGTACATGATGAAGAGAGGAAGATAACGAAAAGGAAATAACATGAGGAAAAGAGAAGGAGACAAGCATTTCTGGACCTTTGGGTCATCTCATCGTTTCTTTCCCTATCACATCTCTAAGATTAGGACGTCTTATCCAATATCTCTCCCTTAACTTCCACCGACCGAAGCGAGGAGTAACGAGCGGTAGGGAAGGGTCAGGACACAGTCTTCTCTAGGTCACTTTTACACTTCTTGGTCTTACAAATGACCGCTCTTCAACAATGTAATTCTCCCTCCTTCGTTACCTCTCTCGTCTATCACTTTAGCATGTAGGATTACACCTTAGAAGCGACAGAATGGAGTGGGTATGACAGAGAGGCAAAGATACAGTGTGTAATCATAATGACAGCAAATAGAAAAGGTTGCTCACACTCTATTTCAGTCTCTTTTATTAATCTCTACCAACAATAAACATAAAAGAAAAAGAACAATAAATATATGATATCTTCCCCATTAAACCTTCTCTCTTCACCATATCAACTCTCCAATGTAGATAATTCCCTAATCAAGAGATTTCCCTTTATTCCAGGTAAGCATAATGCCTTAAAAGCTAGGAAACGAAGATAAAGAAGCAATGAAGATATGGGAAATGCTTTTATTATGTTTATTAATTTATGGTTTTTGAAGTTTCCTTCCCTTGTATCTATCCTGTACCTCAGATTCCTTTGGTAGGAAGAGGAGGGTGACGAACGTACCCGACGTGAGCTGGAATTATCTTTGCCGCCAGCCGGCTGCATTCACAATGAGAAGACAAACACAAAGTGAAGAAAGAAGAGGAAAAGAAAGATACAAATAAAGATATGAAAGAAAAATGAAAATGAATACAAATAATAATAAAGATGAACTAAGAGAATACAGGAAAAGAGAAGGCATTTAGTCTTTACAGAAAGGTTGGGTTACACGGCTCCTAAAGGTAGGAAGATAAGCCGCTTTTATTATGGATCTTAACCACCTCAGAAGCGAAGAGATGAGCGGGCCCGGAGGCTATGTGTTTGATGGAACGCCTCCCCGCTCTCTCGCTTCATCCATCCTTTATCCTTCCAGCTCCTCCCGTCCCTGGAACCTACATGAGAACCTGTCTATCTTCACATCCTAACATTAAAGACACGGAAGGGACGGGGTCAGAGATAGAGTGTGTATATTGTATCTGTTCTCACTCATCACCTTATCTCCCTTCCCTTGTTTGTTTGTAGTTGGGGAAGGGTTAGGTGATGAAGAGAAAGGAAATAGACCATCACTTCCTTCTTCCTCCTTTCCTTGTCTGTTTGAGGTCTTGTTCTTTCACCTACAAATTACCTCCAACAAAGGAAAGGGAAGGAAGTGGAAATAGAAAGTGATGGATGGCATCGTTTCCCAATATTCTTCCAGCTCTTCTTTACCTACGTTAGGAGCTGGTACAGAGGAAACGATGGCATGGCCAATTATCTCTTTATCATGTATCTTCCCCACTCTCTATAACCCGGAGAGATGGACGGGTAGAGAGTGGATAGGGAAGATGACATGATTCCTTCCTTCCCTGTAATTCCGGTTTATCTTCCCATCCTTAGGATTGACTCACCGGTGAGGAGGTGAGGTGAAAGGATGGGATAGAACCGACAGGGAATGGAGGCAATAAGATAGCATTCTATCACTTATTCTCTTCCCTTCTTTGCTTTGTAATTCATGCCTTCCCATTTCTAGTCTTGGCAGTGAGTGAAAGGAAACCGAAAAGCCAAGACACCAAAGGCATGAATGGGGAAGAGAAGAGAAGAATGCTATCTCTCTCACACACCTTCCTACCTCCGCTCTTCTGTCGTCACTAATTCCCTATCCTAGAGCGGAGAGTTAGTCAAGAGGAAGGTGTGACTATAGAATGGATAAGCCCTGACGTAGGAAGGGATCAATTATCATCTTCTTTGTTGATGCGGAGCGGATCCCTTCTATATTTGGAGGTGTAATGAAAGATCTCTTAACCACCTCCTCGCTCCTGTGTATCCGCTCCTTTCCATGTCATTCATTGGTCCAGCGGCGAGCGTAAGGATGAGGATGGAAAAAGACAGACAATAAGCCGCTGGGAAGCCTTTTCCTTTATCTAACCCTTCATTCTTCCCCCTTGCCCTTTCCCTTGGTCAAGGCTTGGGAAGAGAAGGGAAAAGGAAAAGAGGTTGAGTGAAAAGATAAGGTCCTTCCTCCCTTCGTTCGTCATCATGTGTGCACTCCGTGTCTTGACCATAAGAGAGTGAATGGTGGGACAAGACACGGAAGGAATGACATTATCTCGCCCACGGTCTACCTCAAAGACAAACAGGTGGCTACATCCTGGACTAGACAAGACCTGACCGTGAGGGCGAGAGTAAAGACGAACATTCCTTGCCTTTCTCCTCTCTATGTAATCTCTGTTCTCCGTAAATAGAAAGGAGAGGAGAAAGAGAAACAGGACTGTACACTCCCTCACTCTCTCCGTTCCCTCGCATGTTGTAGGGTTAGAATGAAGGCTTGTCCTCCCATCTGTCGGACCCCTTCATCTTTGCTAACCCTTATCTCCGCTCCAGACGGTGTAACCGGAATGCATCAGAGCGGAGAGGATGTAAGTGATAAAGACGCGACCAAAGGAGCGGGGTAAGGGATAAGAAAGTGATGACTCCTCCATCCATTGCCTCCGCCAGCGGTAGAAGCTGGGAAACGGAGAGATGCAATGGGGAGGGAAGTGAGTCCTTAGGAAGCGAACGGAGGTGAGTGCCCGTCCTTTCCATCTTTCTCGCTCGTTATCCACTCCGCTCCGACGTAAGGACGAGGGAACGAGTGCAAGGAGGAAGGAATGCTATCTCTTTTCTCTTTTATTTATTGTTCTTCTCCTATCCCTACCTCTTGGCTCCGCAGGCGAGGAATGGAATGACGAATCCAAGGAAAAGGTGTCTATATCCTGGACAGCGAGGCCAGGGGAAGCTGTAAGTGAATGAAACCGAGAGAAGACGAGGTTGGGAATGAACGGTCATTTCTTATCTTCTTACGTTACCGTCCCCTTCTTTCTTTCCTGTTCACCATCTCCCTTCACTTTGTATCTCAGGAACAATAATAATGGTGAACAGAGGAAAGGTAAGGTGTAAAAGGGAACGAAGGGACCGGATCCTGTGCCTTTATCTTTAGGTGCCGTCCGGCCTCTTCTTTCCCGTTCCCCCTATTGGTTAGTCTTCCATCCCTACCCACGACGGAGGATAGGAGGTGCGAGGAAACGAGCGGGAAGTGTGTGAGTCATCTTGGAAGCGAACGAAGGGAGCGGGCTCGCTTCACTCACACACATTCCCTCCCATTCACCTCTTTCCTCTTCACTCCCTACCATCGTGTGCGAGAGGTGAATGGGGCCAGCTCTGTTCACTCGCTGTCATACCCTTTCCCTTGGTTAAGATTGCCCGGATGGAAAGGCAATCAAGGGAAAGGAAAGAGAGTGTACCTTCCTCCTCGCTTGGGAGCGAGATGAGAGGAAGGGGATGTGTGGGAAGGTGAGAGGAAAGGGACTTGACTGCTCTCACCGGTTCACCCACACATATCTTTCCCATGTCCTCACGACCTAAAGGAGTAAAAGAGAGGACATGGTGAAGGGAAGAGAGCGAATGAATGGAGATGAGGACGCTCTCACCCTTCCTTCTCTCGTCTCCATGTCTGACCTGTCGACGAACGAAGTAGAGGAGAAAGGAAAGACATGGCCCGGCTCATTTCCCTCGCCGTCGGTGACAGAAAGGAAACGACAAGAGAAGGGAAAGAGACGGGGAAGGGGATGTGTGGATGGGAAAGCCGCCATTATACATATTCTCTTTCTCGCGGCTTTCACACACATCACCTTCCTCCCTCACTCTTCCATCTCGCTCCTCTCGCTGACGAGTGAACATGAGGAAGAGAAAGGAGAAGAGATGGGTCCAGTCCTTACCCTTTCATCTCGTTTCCTCGCTGTCAAGCACGGACTGGAAGGACAAGGTGAAGAGACAGCGAAGAGAAAAGAGATGATAGAGAGGTAAGGACGGGCCAGCCAATTAACCCTTCTCATGCTCTGGCTCTAGGAATTAATGCCTTTGTGGAGCCAGGTCAAGGGTTAATAAGCTGGTGAGTGCAATGGAAGGGAATGGTGTGAGACGGAGGTGAGAGTAAGTGAATTCCTATAGCCCAGAGGCTTCTCTCCACCTCCTCACACCATCTATTCCCTTCCCCATCCTTCCTCCATCTCCATTCTCTATCCTCACTCCATTCCCTCCCTACCACCTGTGTGTTTGGTGGGTGAGGGGAATGTGAGGATAGAATGGATGAATGGAGAGTCTGGTCTCTCGGTCTTCCATCCCATCGTTTCCCATTGGCCTTAATTTGTAGGAGCGGCGCCAATGGGGAGGAGATATGGGATGGAGAATAGCCGAGAGAAGAGAGGCGGCTCTTGGCCTTGTGTGTGAGGTCCTTGTCCCCTTCATTCGTTCTACCTTCATTCGTTTCTATTTATTTTCATTATCTACATCTTAGGAACGAAGGGGACAAAAGGAACGACCTCACACCCCGCTCCGCTCCTCAGCCAATGGCATACCGTGGAAGATAGAAAGGAGCGGCATTCACAATGAGAATAGACCGGTAGGCGAGAGGCGAGCCCAGAGGCATGACATTTCCTTGCTTTCCAGGTGCTTAAGAACGAGTGAAGAGACGAGTCCATGGGAAAGCAAAATGTCATGAAAGAAGCTCGCCTTCCCCTCACTCACTTCGTACCTCCACTCTCGGTTCTCGTTCCTAAGGTGTAGATAGTGAATGAGCCCGCGGGAAATGAACGGCAGGGAAGGTCCTAAAGAGACAGTTCCTTCAAGCCTTACATTCCTACCTCTGGGACTTGTCCCCACCATTTCCTCACGGTCTAATTCATAAGCTGAGGAAGGGACGAGGCAATGAATGAAGACCGCTCACACCGCCAACTCGCTATCACATCCCATTCCTTCCCTATCTTTCCCTTCCTTGGTATCTTCGCCTGGCGGTGTAATCCCAAGAGCAGGAAAGAAGGAAATGGGAATGTTGGACCGTCCTTGACTGGCGGTTGAACTCAGAGAATGATTCGCGAGTACACGGTCAACCTTCATTGGTGAGTCCGAACGGAGAGAGGAAGAGTGAGGATACGAACGAAGAGTGAAGCGAGCGGGCACCTGTTTCTCTTCCCTGTATTCCGTTTAAATTGAAGTCTCTGACAGGGAATTACATGGTTAGCAAAGTACAAGATAAAAGAGATAAAGGGAGATATAATCCTATTCCATAATTCCTGGCGCTTCTCGCCTTCTTTTAAAGTCTTTCTTATCTTATCTTTCCATTAGGTACAATTATCCCTCCTCTTAACACCTAGAACAAGAGAGAAAGAAGAGGATAGGAAAGGATTGTGTCCCCGGCTTTCAAGCCTTTGTCGTTACAACTTTTTATTTTTATTTTCTTTTATTTATTATTTAATGCTTTTTATTTACCTTTCATATCTTCACTTTAGGATTTATGTATTTTCGGGAAGTTCAGGCCCGTTCCCTAGCCCTGTGTGGCCGCTGGGAAGAACGATGAAACCGAGGGAGAGAAACGCTTTCCAGGACCTGTCCAAGTGATGTAACACCGTCTATCTCTCCCTCATAAATTATCTTGTCAGGTTATTTGTCTTTTTCTTTTTATTTTCATTCTTTTATTTTATTTTATATTTCATTTTAAGTTGTAAAAGCTGCTATCCGTTCACCGTTGGTTCACACGTAGAGAATTGGAGACAGATGAGTGGGTAAGACGTAAAGCCGTGGAACGGTTAAGATGGGATAGGTGTCCATGAAAGAGAGAGTGAACAGACAGGAAATGATGATGGCATCCCTCGCTTGTTGGCGAGATGGATGGCTGAGGATAGGACTCTCGTCTTTATCACTCTCTTTACTATCTATTGGTTACATTCATTCATCTTAGTTAGTTAGGTGAAATGCATTGAGGGAGAGAGATTACATGCTGCATTTGGAGGCGGTCCGGTGACTGCATTGGAAGGAACGTGTGTACAGAGGATGAGAATAGACGTCTGGAAAGGACTTGAAGAGGAGCAACATATGATGGAGATAGAAGGATTTCCTCTAATTGGGATTATATTTCCCATTCATTTCCGTTCTTTTCAGGAGTTTTCGTTCATTCGTTAGTTCGGTTACATTGTAGGGACAGAGAAGATACATGTTAGGAATGACAGGTCCTTTATCCTGGATCCTGATGTAGAGTCTATTCCTTTTTCTATCTGATGTCATATCTTTTATCATCTTTTTTCTGTTTTTATTATGTCTTCTCTTTAATATTCGTTTCTTTTATATTTGTACCTCTATTCACTTCCAAGCTGTGTAATAGCGGTTAAGGAAGAGGGAATTGATGGTCTGAGGAATGCCTTTCCCTTTACTAGCCAATTAATGCATTCCAATGGCATACGATGGACGAAGGAAAGGAATAAACAAGATACAGGAATTACAGAAAGGGTGATAATTGGAGATGAAAAGAAACGAAAGAAAGAAAACAAATAAAAATAGAATGTAATCCAGCTTCCTCCATCTGTCGGTTCGCTTCTTTCCACATCTTAGTCTTTCCCGTTCCCAACCTTTCTGTAATGACATGTAGAACTTGATTGCTGTTCTATTATTTACTTCTTCTTTACGTTTCTATTTTATATTTACAATCCTTACCCATAGAATGCTGATAGATGGATATCACAGAGATAAAAGGGGTAGACAAAGACCAGAAGTTAACAGCCTAGAGTTGGAGGAGGCTGGTCCAGTGTATAAGATAGAATGGCTTTAGGGACATGTTGAGATGATGGAAGTAATATCTGGTCTATTAACTAACTTTTGGATGCTTTATCTCTTTCTATTTCTCTTTGTTTCGTTTATAATTCTATTCTTGGTTTTCATGTTGCTTTTCTTCTCGTCCTTATTCCCTTGGTCACCCATTGGTCAAGAGATGATAGAGGATTAGAAGATAGATGAGGGTGACCATGGGATAATGTAGGTAAGGAATGGAAAAAGAAAGAGAAATTCATTCAAGATCTAACTGTAAAAGCCTTTAACCTTACCTACCATCCGTTCACTCCATCCCTTCCACCTTTCTAGTTGGTGGGGTTTACAGATGAGACCGAACGGATTAGAGAGTGAGGTCCAACATTCCTTAACCTTCCCTTACACCTCTTCTTTACAGTCTTTCATTCTTGGGATTAGAAGATAGAATGAGGAAGATATAGATGGTGACAATAAGATCATGAATGCAACAAGATACGGAAAAGAGCCGGAGGGATTAGCAAAGATAAATAAATATAAACGAAAAGATAGGAAAAGACATAATAAAAACCAAGACTTCTAACTCTATCTCGCCTCCAAGCGACTCCTCCCATCATCTGTCAACACTTTACTGCCTTCTCTATCCTCAAGTTCCCGGAGCCTCTATCATATGGCGGAGGTAAGGTGTAGTGACAAGTGATTTCCAGAATTAAAAAGTAAAAGGAAAAAGACAATGATAAATCCGCCATCATGAGACAGCGGAGAGACAAAGATAAGGTAAGGGATAATATGATAGTGAAATAAGGCTCTGGAAAGCCATGAGTGGTGAGGGGAAGGTACAATAATAAATAGAAAAGAGACCAAGGGACGTACATTGGACCAGATGGTAGGCCGTGGGTTTGTAGGTGGCCTGGCAGCTGTTAGACTCTTCCTTTCACTACTTCCTGTCTCTTCAATATCTTAGCATCTCATTTACAATGTAGAATTACGTGAAAGAGACTAAAGGATAATACTTGAAAATAAAAGGAATAATAACGATGGATTTCTAGGGTAAAAAGATGACATGAGAGACAAGGCATTTATCCCTTCTATCTACATCTTATCCTAATTAACTTCAAATACAGAAAAGAAAGAGAACAGAGATGAAGATAATTGACAGGAAAAGGAATGTCCATCCGGTGACTCCGGGATATAGAATGTTGATGATGGAAGTAATCATTTGGAGAATCCAGACACTTTAGGATGTGAATGGGATAGTGTTAGGACAAGAGCTTCCTCAAAGTAGAATCCTTTCCTTCTTTCTTTATCTTTTGCTGTTATTTCTTTCATATTATTATCTTATTTTATATTTGTAGATCTTAGAATTATGGAAATGTTAGGAAGGATAGTGAATCGAAGGGAATATACCCCTCCTTCACGCTCAACCAATGGACATCTCTGTATCACCGTTCAATATTCCTCTCCTTTCGATCTCCGAGAAGACGAGTGAGAATATCTCTTCATCATGTTGAATTACTTTCATCTGGTTATCTTTGCTAACTGTAATATCTTGGAATCTTTGTGAGTGCATCATGTCCTTTCTGTTCCCTTCAATATCCTGCATTTCTATTCCCTTCACATCATGTCCTATCTTCCTTCTTTCCTATTCATTTGTATATCTCAGATGGAGTTATGATGAAGGAAATAGAATTATAATGGAGAAAGAAAGAGAGCAATAAATATAAGAATGCTTGACAAAGATAAGACAGGTAAGGAATAGAGAAGCTTCCAGAGCCTTGACCAAGTGTTGGCTCTTCCTGTTAACTCCCTTTATCTTGGATAGAATTACCTCTGTCCTTTTCATTTCGTATTCTTTGTCACCTGTCTGTCCTCACATTGTAGTTACACCTTACCTCTTCCCTTCATGGCATTGTGATTCCCAAAATAGCAAATGAACATTAATTGTGAGATCTTTGTGAGTGCAGCGCTTGGTCAAGTTGTGGAAAGAAGTGGAAGATATAAGTGAAGAGAGAAGAAGGAAAGACAATGCAGCGGAAAACCGTCCCCCTAAATGCTGCCAAAAACACAAGCTGTGACGGGAGCCTTATCTCTCCTGGTAACTCTCCTATTCTGTGTGCGAGTCACCATAAAAGCACGAGATAGGGAAAGATTTATGAGATGGGGACCGTGGTGCACAGATAAGACTGCCCTAGAGATGAAGAGACCTAGGGAAAAGTAACGGCGAGGAAGGAAAATAGCCCATACGTTCCTTCATTTCCTTTAATTAATCAACCAATCCAATTGATAAAGAGATAGGATTGGAGGTGAGATTAAGAACAGACACACCTCAAATGACAAACAATGTCATTCCTCCATCCTCATCCCTTCGTCTGGAGCACCTTTCCTATCCTTGTCTTACCTCTTTTCTTTTCAATTACATTCAACTTAAGAACGAAGGCACCCAACTCATTCACTCTTCACTCAAGCCCTTTCCTCCGGGCTATTACACACTGTGGAAGGAACTGGTGAAGAGAATAGGAACACAACGAGAAGAAAGACAGGATGAAAAGGAATGACAGATATAATTCTATCCCTTCTTCTTCCTAAGGTCGAGAGAAGCCTTTTTCACTCACCTAACAGCCATTACTCTCTCTCCCTTGCAGTCGATCCAATGGCTGACACATGATGGGTAAATAGAATGCAAATAATAAAAGCATCTGGAAAGCATGGAAAGGATAGTGACTCACCATGAAGAATCCACTCTCTCTTTACTATTAATATCTGTTTCTTTGGGATTCTATCTTCTCAAAATTCAAGATTCTAAAGGTGAAGGAAGGATGACCAACGAGAGCTAGGATAAAGCCTTACAATGGATAGGTAATGTGGAATAGCGAATGAAAAGGGAAATAGAATGACATGCCATGGAAGAGCCGTCACCGGTCGCTCTCTTCACTCGCTCTCTCTCCCATGTACTTCCTCTATCTCTTGGAGTCTTACCTTCGTGTCCTATCTGTAACCACTCTTCACCAAGGGAAAAGGTAAGGTGTAAAGACTGGAATCTTCTTTCCTTTTCCTTGGGTTCTTGATCACCATTTCATCCCTAACTCTCTAACCGTGTACTCGCTCCCGTCCTATCTGTGAGGGTTAGGTGACGTACGAAGTGACGAAGAAAGCTGAGGAGCGGTAGGGCATATTCCTTCATTCACTTTCCGGATTCTTAATCCATCTTTTCACTCCATCT